AGGCTTACTTTCATTTAAATATAAATATAATAGATTGGTTCCATTAGTTAGCGAGACTACACTAGTGATTATATAAGTGTTTAAGAACTTATTGATAAGAACCTAAATAATTGAGTATTAGTATGCATTATTCTTCCCATAACAATTTCTATTATTTATCGTACGTGTATAAAATATAGACATCAACTATCTCTACATAGATAAAGAAGGATCAAACAAATATCTAAGTTTCAAAACTAATGCAATGGACAATAGAGTGGCCGCTAAAGAGGTAGAACAGAGGAGGTGAGATTGGTTTCATCCTCTAAAAGCCACAAAAGTCAAAGCTTCCAAGGGCAACTTTTGAAACAACTATGAGGATCTCAAACTACTTCACAGGGGAGAGCGAGGTGAATTGTTTCTCTTTGTTAGAATGAGAGAATGATGTTCTTTGCACAAAGAACTATTGTGCACCAATAAGTGATCATGCAATTGTAACTATCATGGAAGAATAAATGGTTGGAGCATAGCGAAATGAGTGGTTATTTGTGGCAAAGATAAGTGAAAAGAGAAAAAGTGAGGGTTTTAAATTCAACATCTTTTTTAGTATGACTTGTGAAGTAATAGATCTAGTTTAATCTTGAAGGGGTTGACTCAATTTGGATTTTATTAGGCATATTATTTTCATAGTTTCATATTACTCTACCTCAAATACATTCAATGAAAATGACTTTATTTTGTATAATAGGACCAAGGTGAAAGTAGGATAAAATAAAGGACTCAGAACTATAAAACCAAAAGAGGGAAGAGAAGTGATAGAAAATGAATTAAAATAAGCTTAGTGTTACCTCAAATAATGTTTACTCTTTCTCTTTTCCCTTTTCTTCCTCACTTCACACTTATTTCAAACTATATCTAATACAAATCCACATAAAAAAATCAAGGAAATTCCACACACTTATTTAAAACATATTCCAAAAACAATTCCAAAGCTCCTTTAATATATCAGGTTTAGGGTGCAACATGGTTTTCCACTTAAGACTTGAATTGAGTTGCAAAATTATCTATTGGAAATATTATATAACCTTAAAGGATAGTAACGTATATTGACCATTGATTTTGAAGGGCTCAAATAATATATTATTAATAAATAATAAATGAATATGAAAAGATAAAATAATATGAAAGGGTGAAATGTTAAATTTGTAAAATTATTAAGTTTGGGAATACCAAAAATATAATACTTTGGGAATAATCATTAAATTTATGAGGGTCAAAATCATAAATCTTAATGTATATTACAAAACTTTGAAAAATGGAATGACCCTTTCGTCTTCCAAGAAGATCTATCACTGTCAAAGAAGTTAAAGAAAGGAAATCAATAAAAGGTGAGTCAATTTGACTAATAGTTTTGAAAAGAAAATAACACCTAAATCATATTAATAATACATGTCAAAACAAAATCTAAAGTATCTAGCATATAAATGAAATCACAAAAAAATAATAAGTAAATAAAATGACATAAAATATCACAAAGTTATTATTTTATTGCAAATTAGCTAAACTTCAATTTAATAAGTTTACTCACAAATGATGTATCATATTACAACACCTCTAAATTAATAATGATGAAATTGCTCACAAAATATACATTTTAGGAGTTAATAAATAAATGCACACAACTTTTTATTGTGTTTTCTCTCTTCTCTTTTATTTTATTTAAAAAAAAAAAACTTTACCTCACAAGAATTACACATTATTGTCAATATGGACATGTAATGCAAAATGAAAAGAACAAATCACAAAAATACATGAGGAAGGAACACAGAATAGAAAGTCTGAAAATAAAATTACTTTCATTGCTAGATAGGAACTTCATTAACCAAGAGATAGGAACTTCATTAATCAAGATAGGTTTAAGTAGAGAATTGACCACAACATATTCAATCTCCTCTTAATAAATTGTTTTAGTTGGTGACCATTATCTTTGAAAATTGTCAATAACCTCTTTTTTATTATTATTATTTCAACCACACCATGGAAGAAAACATTAGTGATAATAAAAGATCATCCAATTTATAATAAGGCTTACTAGCAATAAGTTACAGGCAAGAGTTGAATGAAAAACACCTTTTGGACTATAAGGAAATATTTTCTTAAAATATTACCATCATGAAAATTTGTCATATCTTTGGATCAATCTCTTGTAATTGAAGCTTCCTTTTCATACCTACTTGTTTTAATGCTAAATTACAACTATTCACCTCCCAATATATTACTCTTAATCAAAAGGTGATATACTATATTAAACATAACAAGATAAACAGTTTATAAATCCAAATTTTTTAATAAAACATCCAATTTTAGTCTATACTATTAAGGGGAACCAATTTCTACATGATCAACTTTATTTTTTTATTGAGCACTTTAACTTACGCATTAGTCTGGGATGATATGGTGTAACAACTTTATTAATAACCTAAAACTTTAGGAGTAAAAGTTTCATGATCTTATTGTAAAAATGACTCTTATAATTACTAACAAAAACTTTAGAAATCTATAAATGATATTAGATCTAAAATAATTTAAAACATAATTAACAATAACTAAAATACTAATGTTTCACATATAAAAGTTATTGAAGGGTTGATAAGTGCATATATGGAGACTAATAAAAAATAAATAAATAATTTTTATAAGAGTTATAAGGAGCATGAAAAGACAAAACACTAATATTCTTAAAATATTTTTTTTATATTTTATTGCTTGAATTTAAGATTTTTAAATTTTATTATTTATTTATAATTGAATTTATTTTTTGTAATTGTAAAATATGTTTGATATAGGTCTCGCTTGACATAATATAATTAAGATTTAATATAATTATAAATATTTAATATCAATATTTCACATATAATATATTATACTCAATATATTATAAATGATATTAGTTTAATTTGAAGCCTTCATAATTAGTAAAGATATAATCTTTAAATCCAGTTATATAAAAATGAAATGTAAAAGTTTAATTACTTCTGTGAAGAATAGAATAAAGAGAGGTGGAACTAGGGGTCAAGCATGGGTCACGCGTCATCCCAAATAATTTTTTTCATATATATATATATATATATATATATATATATATATATATATATATATATTATAATTTTTTTTTAAAATTAAATAAAAATACTTTATAAATATAAATAAATTTTTTTATTTATAATAAATATCATATTTATTCTTTTACATAATTTTTTATTTATATTTTTTTTTCTTATCTTCAAATTTTTATCTTTTTTCTTTCACTTTTTCATTTTTTATTAAAACTTTTTTTTATGAGACACACGTTATCTTTTCACATTTTTATCTTTTATTTTTATCACTCCTTTCACATTCATATTGTTCTCTCTTTTATTACATAAAAGTTATAAACTTTTCTCTTTAATTTTCAAAATTATCTTTTTTTTTTTATAATTTGATCTCTATAACATAAAAAACTATTTTTTATTCTTTATTTTTTTGTCTTTTATTAAAAACACATAAGACCAAATGTTAAAAATAAAAGAGATACTTCAAAATAATTTAATTCGAGTAAAAAATAGTAAACACAATTATTTTTTTATTATTAATTATAATAAATTAATATGTATAGTGTAATATAAAAATATAAAATATTGATATATATTTTTATTATTATAAATTTAATAATTATTTTAATATTTTATAATAGTCTATTTTAATCTTAAAGTGTAAAATAAAAATCAGTTTGAATTTTAGAGATATCTAAAAATAAAAAATTATACTAATCTTTTAAAAGAAAAAATATAGATAAAACAAAATTTATTTTCTAAACTTTAAATTTAATTAATAATATTGATTTGTTTTCATTTTTGATAATTAATTTTATATATTAATCTATCTGTCTTGATAATAAATATTTAAAATAATTAAAATAGGCCATATGACAATAATTATTTAAAAGAATCAAAATACGCCATATCTATCTATTATTACTAGTAAGTAAAACAATTAAAAACTTAAAACTCTACATAATGACAAATATAAGAACTAAAAAAAGAGTAAAATAAGAAGGAAAAAACGAATCAAATATTGAACAAAAAATAAAAACAAAAATTAACTAAAATTGACAAATTAAAACATTTTCATCCTTTTTATAATTGTAGAAGTATATGTGACGAAACGAAATCCGAATCCCTATTTCGTCTTCATAATAATAATAAAATAAAAAAAAATTATGCACGTAAAATTTAATACGATAACTCTGATTAGGTTTAGATTAAATAATGAGGAAGTGAAAGAAGATATTTGTGGATTGTTTTGTGCCACATAGCAAATGTTTTTGTCTTGTACACGGGGTTTGACAGTGGGACCCACCCATCCTGCACTTTCTCGTGCACGTCCTCGTCACTCCGCTCTCTAACCTCTTCCTCAGTTTCTCCCCTCGTTGCATGCAATCTAATTCATTCATCATTCAACTCACATGACTTCTCTCTTACCCTCCTCCACCAATCACACATTAATTATCTGCAATAATGCCAACAACAATACTTCAAACACAAGATCATTGCATCTCAACATTCAAAAATAGTTTATTTTTTGTAAATGTATAACTCATAACAACATAGGTTAATTTAATGACGTAATCATCATACGCTCCTCTTTCAACACTTCATTATTTTATATACTATTATTAACAGAAACATGAAAACACTTCAATTTATTTAATGTATTTTTCAATATTATATTAAAATAAATAAAATTCTATAATGATTAAGAATTCACTGATTTAATTTGGTTTACGTAGCAGGATCCAGAGTTTTCTAAGGGCTTCTATGGTCTGTAAAGAAAGCAAAAAATTCAATTAATGAACAGTGTTGGAGAGTAATCTAGAGTGCCAACGAGGAAGGGAAAAGGTTTTTACTTTTTAACAATTGCACCAATTCCCTCCAAACCCAATCTATCACCTCATCTCTTCCAAAAACGAAATCCAGATAACAATGGAATCCACTCTGGAGGCCAATCAGGAGACTCCACGTGTCAACAGGAAACACGTCACATCATCCCTTCATGCGTCCGTGTCCCACCCCTCCAAAAGTCCTCACCTTTTCGCTCACTTTTTCTTGCCCTCGCAGGAGTGAGAAACCGAACCTCCAACAAAGAAACAAAGAAAGAGAGAGCGTTAGAGCATTGGGGTGTGTGTGTGTGTGTTGTGTTTCGGTGTGTGCGCATTCATTCAGTGATGTGCAGCAAGAATACTCCTTCTTCAGACATTCAAACAACCTCTATTATGAAGAGGACGCGGAAACCGACCAAACGGTATCAGTCTTCTTCCTCCTCCTCTTCGTCTTCTTCGTCGCTTAAGCCGCACCGCCGCGGCAACCGGACCAAGACGCGGAGGCCCAAGTTCGTCAGCCTCCGTCTTCAGTTATCCGAGCCCAAGAACATGCCGGCCGAGCCCAACCCCAAGGTCCAACAGCAGCCGCAGTTGAACCTCTTTCCTCTGCATCCGGAGCACCAGGACATGCACGAGGAGCAGAACGTGGCGCTGCTCTTCAGCGCGGAGGGCGGGGCCACGCTGACGGGGCTGCTGGAGGAGGATTCGGCGTCGCCGTCGTCGGCGACTACGGAGGGATCGCTGTCGGCGCTGACGTGTCCGATGGAGGACGCGGGGAACTGGCTGGTGAGGAAGGCGATGCGGCGGAGGGAGAGCGAGGAGGGGAGCGAGGAGAGGTGGGTGTGCTACTCGGAGGTAGTGGAGGAGAAGAAGGAGGTGATGGAGGAGGTGACGAGTTACTGCGTCACGGGGAAAGCCACGACTACGACGTCGTTTGGGTTGTTGTCCTTGAAACTGGATCACCAGGGGATATTGAATGCTTGGTCTGATAAAGGCTCGTTATACGTCGCGGGGGAGGGGGCCCCACACACTGTCCCAGACTTCCTCAATGGTTTCCTCCTTCATAATTCCCTCATCCCCCATGTGATTTTCACTCCTCTCTCTCTCTCTCTCTCTCTCTCTCTCTCTCTCTCTCTCTCTCTTATTTCATGGCTTAATAATTTTCCTTTGTCTCCGTAGTATTCCCAATTATTGATGTTTTGTCTTCACTTTTAAAAACCCTCCACATTTTTTTTCCTCTTTCTGCAAACAAATGGTATCAAGAGTTTTCAGAAACTTGATTAGATTTAAAAGGTAGTTTTTGTTTTATTGAAATTTCAATTATTTAGTAGTTCGTATACACTGACTACCAGGACCTTCTTTTTTTATTCACAAATTTTGGTCTTTCAATTTAAGTCTATTAGACTTCTTAGATGCGAAAGACACGGGTTTTGAGTTCTACCCCTTATTAGACGAATCATCAAGACTATGTTTGGTTTGCAGTTTTTACTCTCCGACAACTTACCTCTGTCCAGGAAACTCAGTTGGGTGATATTTTTTATTTTCTGTGGAAGATATTTGCCCATAAAGATAGTTATTCAAATTTAAGTTTACTAATTAGTAATCATACTCTAACTTATAGAAAGACTCGTGTATCTCAAAAAACAACAAATCGTGAAAGTCTGGGTATTTAAAAGTTTTAGTGACAAAAAGCGGAAGTGTCAATTTTGTGTGGATTGAAAAACTATTATTAAACCCTTTTCAATTTATTTGAATATTTTATCAACTATGAGAATGGGCACCCACCTGGTGAAAGCATATAATCTTATATTATATCTCGAGATTTGGATAAATAATGTCGGAAAGATAACACATAAATAGCCGGTTTATAGTTTGAGACATCATTGACTGAATAAAAAAACGAGGCTGGGTCATGGTAGATTATGTCACTGATTTGTTTGTAAGATGTTGTGGGCGTGTCTGAAATGGAGTTAGTTAGTTAGTTTATTTATTTATTTAAATGTCGGATTGTGCTTTGTTTGTAGGATTATGTAACTGATTTGGTAATCGATTTGTATTGGAACCTTTTTTGGGTTAACTTTTTGGTAAAGGGAGTGTACTCTGATTAGAAATCTATAAAATATTGGAGTATAGTATTGTGGAGCTTTTCGTTCTTTTGTTTTTTTTACCTGATTTGGCAGCATTGAGCTGAGGTAGATGAGCATGACCCGAGTTAGGTGGGTACTGTTCATATTTTTATGAATCATCATTAATGTATAATAGTTAACCTCAGATGGGTATTCATGCAAGCTATATAAACGGAATGTCTAGGGGGAATAGAGAAATTGTTTCAGTAATGCGATGTGATGCTCTCTGGCTTAAATTCATGAGTTGGTTTTTGGACAGGTTGCATGGGATGGTTGGGGGAGTGGTGTGGTTGGGAACGCATGGAATGTTGCTGAAGATTGTGGGGCTAACAAGAGAAATGTGAAGGAAGAAAATGGTTGGAAGTTGGGGCAGAGAGAGGCAAGTGTGCAGAGATACAAGGAGAAGAGGCAAAGCAGGCTCTTCTCGAAGAAGATCCGTTACGAAGTTCGCAAGCTGAATGCTGAGAAACGGCCCAGGATGAAGGTACTATTCCCTACTTCCATTGTTACTGTGCCATTGGTTTAAGACACTGTTAGTGAGTTTGAATTAGTCCCTACCAAAATCATGTTTTTCTTATTTACTCTCATCTTTTAAGAAGTTATATTCGTGATTCAAGTAAAATGTCCTTTCATAGTCCCTTTTACGACCAAGCATACAACCTCTTCTGCCTTCGGATTTCCTCTATTTGTTAGTCTACTGCGGCACGTGTTCACACCACCTTATCAATAAAATTCTTTCCATATCGTGTTCCCTCGCCTATTGTCTCAGGCATGTGATCATACACACCTCTGGGTTCAAAGTTGACCTTGGACTCACTCGAATTTTTCTACATTAAAGTTCACGTGTCCTACGATAGTTTATATTAATGTCATTGCAATTTCATGGTGGTAACTTGACATTGTGCAGCCCCGTGAAACACTTCAACTGCTCTTTATAGTGCTCAAAATTAGAAATCTCTTGCTAACAGTAGCCAATAACTCTAACTCATAACAGTACCCAGCAGATATCTCTTGTAGTACTGTAGTGCATTTTCTTGAATAAAAATACAAATTTGATCAAGTTGAAAATAACGGGCTTACTTGGCTTGATCCTTCACAACTTCTAACACTCCCAAAAATATTATAAAAAATCAGAAAAATGATTAAAAAAAAGTGGGAGAACTAACTGGAACCTACTATGCAACAATGACCAGAAAAAACAATTGAAAATGAGTAGGAGAACAAACTGAAACCTACTATGCAACAAACCTATGACAAGGTAGATAAAATCTATCTCTAAAAACTCTAGATTAAGAAATTCATGAATATTACCCCACCCAATGAAATTCGAAGATCTAAGACCTTAACTATCAAGTTTATCTGTAAACTGATTACCTTCCTATAAGAATAAAATGTAAAAGCATATGTTTACTGTTTTCAATACAATATAGCCATCTATATCTATTTTTTCCATGTAATGAAATCACTATTATTCATTTTTATTTTATACTGTTTGAAAAAAATATCATTTATTTACTTTTGTACAGTCAAGTATAAACATTAATAATGATTTTCTTTTAGTGAAAGTTTAGTACTAGAAGATGAGAAATGATATCAACACTTTCTGTCAGACACATTTTCATATTGGGTGAGATTTATGTCAGTAATGGTGGAGGGTCTTATTTCTAAACCAGTAAGACTCATGTGACTTTCAACAGGTATGAGAACGCATGTTGTAAAAAGAGGATTAGATAATGAGTTGCTAATACTATAAAACAAATTGGTGCTGTGCTTGTTTGTTTCTTAAAAGGGGGTTTAAAACGTCTGAAACTTGTTATTCCTATTCTGGACATGCTGAACAATTTGCTCTTCCTGAACTCTTGTGAAAAGAATTTCTTTTGGGTACATTTTGCAGGGACGATTTGTGAAGAGGGAATGAGAAGTGAAGAAAGATGGGCACGGTGGATAATAAGAATGTTGTGATATTACAGCGTTGAAATAGAATTTTTCATGTCTTTGCTTTTGGGTTGTGCTGGGAAGCTTTCATCATGAAAATGTTGTAGATATTTTTATGCAATGTAAAATCCCAGTGGTTACAGATATGAACACCCGGGAAAATCCATATTCAACTGCTGTACTGGCGCAACATGTAAGGGGCAGTTTCTAGACCTTTTGATTGAAGGAGTTTGACAAAGGTTTACCATTTGTTTGATCTCAATCCAAGGCTTTAGAAACAGTCAAGCATGTTGAACAAGTACAACAACAAAAAATGTATAGGTTGCTCTGAAGACTTGTACAAAGTCTCTCACAAAATTAAATATTTGGAACATCAAACTATGATACTGGGGGGCTCGAAACTGAACCTTAGTCAGAATATCAATGAACACAAGGGTAGGTTCTAGGTGAAAGTGTGTTGAGTGACTCGACCCTCATTGTTATTTATATCTTGACATTAAATGAAATGAAAATAATAAGTTTGAATGAGTAATTCCTTTTTGCTCTTGTTCCATTCTAAATGAATTTTTATGTTCAGCCAAATTTCTTCTGTGCTAATAAAAATATTTAAGAGGAAAAACTTTTAAATCAAACATGTCACACCAATTATTCTTTTCCATGTTACATGTATCCTCCAGTTTACTAAGAAAAAAATTAATTTGATTGCGGTATATAATATTAGATTAATATGGTTTTATTTTTTTTAACTTAGATCTAACGATAATAATTTTAGCATAATAGGTGGTTAAATATCGTTATAAAACAATATTATTAAATGCTTAAAAACCCAACTTTAACATAATGACAATTACTAATCATCCCAATAATATTGAAAATTTATAAAACTTAAAAACCCAACTTTCAAATTTTCATGCTCATTTTTTTCTCCTGGTTTCAACAAATTCAAAGTTTTCTATAATTCGGAACATGATTCAACGAAATCACATTTAATATTTGACTACTGTAAAATAAGAAAATCGAAATGAATTATTCAAAAACTTTTTCTTTAAAAAACATGTTGTGCAGATTTTTTTACATATATTAAAAGATAAACTTTAATACTCAGATTTAACATCCGTTACGTTAATTTTATTAATTTATTCATATGGCATTATTAATATTTGTGGTGAACTTTCCTTTTATGTGACTGACACATCACAAAAACTTAATTGATTTTTTAAGACAAAATATTTTACTTTTTCTATTAACTAAATTTAGCTTCTTCTTTTTTCTTTTTTTTCTTTCCTTCTTCATGTCGTTTCTAAATCATTTCTTCTTCTAATGCTAATTATTTATGCTTTCTATATTCTTCATTTTCTCGATATTGAATCTTTCTTGTTTTGGTGTTAATTTTTTTTTCAAAATTCTTCATTTTTTATGTTTCTTATTCAACGTGAATCATCCTATTTAAAAAAGAATATTTATGAAAATATTTATTTATTTATGATTTCTATTTTTATAATAGAAAATTAGGATTATGTACGTAGTTTTATCTATTTTTTTATATTTTAAATATTTTTAATTTTAAGGTTTATTATTTTTTATATTTAATAAAAATGTATTTTAAAATTATATTTTTGTTGTACCTAAGAAATCGACTATGTTAAATAAAGGACTGAATATAGTATAAATAATAAACGCTTATATTAATTTTATTTGGGAGAAAAACATTTAAAAAGCTTATTATACCCAAATGATTTTTAAATAGTTGATATTAAATAGGACAACACGTATGATGAAACATATATTTAAATAATAATATAATGGTAGCAGAAAATATAAATTTGTATTATTCTCGTTACACTTTTCACCAAATATAAAAAGATACAAGTAGAATGGCATGCAAGAGGGCGGGGTCAGGACGGGTTTTACCTCCGATTCCGCCCTCATTTTTTTAACCATTCCCGTCGATTATTGCTCCCGATTTTTTTAACTATTTTCGTCGATTTTTGTCGGGGTTAGAAATTAAGTCATCATTTTTGTCTTCATTGAGTTTTGGGTTCCTCGCCCCATCCCTGTCCCCATCCCGCCCGTCTCCGCTCTATCCCCGTTCCCGATCTACATTATTTTTAAAAAGATAATTACATTTATAATAAATTAATTTTATTATCTATTTTTTATATATAAATAAATATTTATAATTTTATAATTATTATTAATTAAAATTACATTTTAATTTATTATATTTATATTAAAATATGTATGTAAAAGAAATATTTAATCATTTTTTATTTATAACATTATTCTTATTATGACACTATATTCAAATATTTGAATACTTATAACATTATTATTATAATATTGTATTCAAATATTTGATTTTATATATAAGTTAATTTATTTTTAAGTTATTATTTAAAAATATGAAATATATAGTTTATAAGGAAATATTTAATATGTTAATTCTTATTCAATTAGTTCGAAGTAATAAAAGTTTAAATTATCAATTCTTTTAATCCTTTAAAATACAATTATTTTATTAAGATAAAATTTGATATATGATAAATAAGAATAATAAGATAAAAAAAATATGACATAATAAAACCTGATAAATATAAATTATAAATAAAATAATATTAGTAACTACTAATATTTATGTAAAATATTTAGAAAAAGATAAAGAATACAAAAAATTAACTTTGTGTTCGTCAAATTGGTTGAAAAGATTGAAAAAAAAACAAATTGATGGGAGAGATTAAGAAAATGTGAAAAACTGAAAGGTAAGAGAGAATAATGTAATAAATTAATTGATATAAAAGATTAAAAAAAACAAAAAAATTAAAAAGTGGGTAGAAGAAAAATAAAAATTGGTAAAATATAAAAAAATGACCTTATATGTAATAGAAAAAAAGGAAATATTTTTAAAATATTAATATTTTAAATTTTAAATTTAAATATAAAGTCGGCGCGGAGACAGGGTCGGGGTCGGGCGCGGGGTGGGGATTGCATTACCCATCCCCGCCTCGACTTTTTAAAGTGGGGAAAACCCGAACTCGCCCCGTCCCGAGTCAACTCGAATTTTTCCCGTCAAACTCGGGGCGAGGATGGGTCGGTCCTCACGGATACGATTTTAATTGTCATCTCTAACGTAGATACACCCGAACAATTTTTTAATACACAAAAATAGTATAAGCTATGCAATTATATTAAAAGTATATCCAAATTTTAATTAAAAAATTTATAATATATATATATATATATATATATATATATATATATATTTAAAACATTACTAAGAGTCATATTTATAAAATTGGTTTTATATCTTAAAAAAAGCATTAGGTGTAAGATGTAGTTCGCAATCATACATATAACTAAATTAAGCTTCAATGTATAGAGGTAGAGTAAACAACACATATACATAAAACATTGGTATGGATCAAAATTGCAATTTATTAGTTATTATATAGTATGTAAAAATATATGTATTCACCCCTCTATTTAAAGTATAAAGGTGGTGTAAATTATACATCTACAATGTTAATATGGAAAATTAATATAATTACTCTATTCTTTCAAAACAATTTATAATTAGTTATTGAATTTATAAAATTTTAAGTATGGAACAAAACTTAATGCATAAAGTGACGTTAATAGGAATGACAAAACGGGTTAGGCTCAGCGGCTTAACCCGTCAGTCTGCCATAATATGGCGGAGCGGATTAGTATTTTTTAGTCCGTTAGTCTATTTTGGTCCACCTGGCCAAGTCCGTCAACTCTGTTGAGCCAGCCTACAGCTCGCTTTATTAATAATTTTTTTTTAAGTTAATACAATACAAATAGTCGGAAAGGTGATATGTAATATAAAGATTTATAAAAAAAGAATACAAATTTCTCTCTCTCCTCTTACTTATCATCTCTTTCTTGTTCATCCTTCTTTATAAGGTAAAAATAATATATATCTTATACTTTTTTACTCTCTTTTATTGAAATATTTGATTTAAAAATAATAAAATAAAATAAGAAATATAACGGGTTAGCCCACCAACCAGCTCTTTGGCGGGCGGGCCTAGACTTGTAGTCCGCCCGCTTTTGGTGGGCCAAAACAAGGCAGACTGACCCGTTTTGCCATCCCTAGACGTTAGATATTTTAAATAAGCAAAAAAAAAAAATTCAATACTATATTAATGATAAATACATGTTATTAATATTTTTAACAATATATATTATACATATTTAGTATATTATTTAATTATTAATATAGTTTTGATAAAAAAAATAAATGTCTATGTAATTGAATTATTGTCTAAATTATATATTTTAATTATTTATTTATTTACTTCTTTTTATAAAAATGATAAATTAAAGAAATATAAAGATTTATTTTAAAAAATTCATTCATTACAAAAATATTTCACTAAGCAAATTATTATTAAAGAGCTCATTTCAAACTTGAACAATTTACTAAATGAATAAATAAATTGTTGAGTGAAGATGTCGTTTGCGATCAATTAACTTAATTGTCGACAAGTAAAAGTGGTCCTTGAGTGAATTTGTCATAAATCTCAATTATGTAAAAATGTGATTTAAGTTCCATGTTATATAATTGGTTAATTATAGATTTTGTGCGTCTTATACATGTTGTTATATAGATAAACTTGTGAAGATAAAAATGTGGTATGTTTACAATATATTCTTCATTGTAATGGATCTTCACCTTTTAACTCTTGTAAAGAACTAACTCAAATAGATTAACTCTAATACAAACTAGAAACACAAGTTAGTTGTAGAAAAGGAATTTGAATAAAGCTCTTAAAAATAATTTCGACAATAGTTATCAATTGATTTTCAAACTCGTTTAATCACAAGTAGATCAACTAATGAAGATTTCATATGATGTTACTAAAAGACTTGACAATAATGTATCGTCTCATAATGTATTTTCATAAGACAAATTAGAAACGGTATGAAACTAATAAATTTTTTAATTAAAAAAATATGTTT